GAAAAAGAGGCAGGCAAATGGACCTGTTTTACATCTAAAAAAAGTTCAATCAGATAAGTAAGTCCAATATTTAGACACAACATTTTAGGGTTTGAAAAAGACTAATGATGTTTAATTTTGAAAAAGATAGTGAGAGTAATCTGAAAAGTGAGTTACCATGGAAATAAATTAAATTAAAAAACCCATGCACAGTGTCTATATCTGTATCTACATTTGTATATACATCTATTTATTTATCTATATCTATATCTACATTGATATCTATATCTATATCTTGATGTATATCTATATATCTTTATCGATATTTATATCTACATTTATGTCTGTGTCTATATTAAAAAAATTAAAAGCCAAATGATTTTCTATAAGGATGGTGCTTATGTCTTGAGTTAGGTGCTTTTATATGTTTAAAACAAAAGGAAGACATTTCTTAGAAAATTGGACTGAAATTTTCAGTGTAAAAGAAAAACTTAGAATTCCCACAGAAATATGGCTTGAGACCACTTCAAAAGATACACCTACAAGAAACAATGACCGGATCAAAACTGTTGAACATTGCTGTCCATTTAGAATCAATATAAAACCCAAATCTAGAAATTAACACCAATAAACTGAATAACAATTTAAAACTATGTAACATTTAACTTAATGTACTTAATGCTTAATATTTAGCTCAATTCAATTTGAATGTTTAAAGGAGGAACAGATCTTAGCCCTCCATTTGCTGTAATAGTTAATCTGATCCATTAGTCTGTTTAAGCTTATTCAAGGCCGACCCAACAATCGGTGCACATTTCAGGATAATTAACACAAGCTGGCAGACCCATGCTAATTTTCTGAAGTAGCGCTTTAACTTTGTTAAGAAATCAATATTTCAAACGGGATGCAATCTCTGCATTTACAAAATATCCTCAAAGCTTAGACAACGTCCTGTTCCCTTTTCCATCCAACAAAACCGGGCCGAAACCTGACAAAACGCTACATTTTCCTACAAAAACTGACAAGGAAAATCAAAATGTTGCAAATCTTAGCTGAAGCGTCTTCTTTTAAAGACAGAAATCATTCATCTTTATTATGTCATTTACAGAACATCACAGTTAAAACAACCTTCAGCTTCAAATCAGCATCAAATTGTGGAGAGAGGTTGTAAATTACAGCCAGTGAACGTTCGTAAAGGAGCATTTCAATTAAGAGGATGTGTTTTTCTTTTGGTCAGCACAAAGCTTCTTAGCGTGCGTCCGTCGGTATATTTCAGCCTCTCTGACTGATTTGGCGATATTCTCTCAGGGCCCGTCGATTTGAATAGTGTGAATATTTATGTACGGAGGTGTCGTGGCCGTTCTTAACGTCCACACTCTTTAGGCAGACGCTTATTGTCAGCTGGAAGTGGGGGTATATAAACAGCCGCGCGTCCTGCCAGAGGAAGCATTAAGGTCTCCTCATTATTTAATCATCCGCCGCTTCACACCTGTCAGGATGATGCTGCATGTGCAGCCACTTCCCACACACTGCTACATTTATCACACAAACACACAGAGGATCAGTGGAAACAGCTTCTACTCATGAGTCAACACTTAACAAGTAGTACAACTATCATAAACCTTATATGACTATTGCAAGCTGGTGGCAAAAACAAAGAAAAAATGGCCACATATTGAAATGTGGTCATTAACCCTGTAATGCCAAATGTGTCATATTTGGCTGCATACGGTATCCAAATTTCGTTGTACGCATGTATAATGACAATAAAGGCTTTCAATTTCAATTTCAATTTCATTTGATACCTTCGGTTTCTGAAATGTTTTGCGTCTGACACCTTTTGCATAATTTAATGGTAAAAACTTTGCTCAAAATCCTAATTTACACAATCAGATACACCTGATAACAGGGGGCAGAAGACTACACAAAAAATAATCTTGACTTATCGCATAGTAATAAATTATTAATATAAAAAATATATTTCTGTTTTTTTCTTTTTACATATTTTGTTAAAAGCCCAAATAAAGACTTACAACCAAGAAAAAGTAATTTTCTGTTTTGTTTTATTCTTGGATCAGGCTTTAAAGGGTTAAATACATTATGATTACTGAAATAACAGTTTTAGGTGAATAAATAGGGATGGATCGTTGCAAACGGGCTCTTGTTGTATGCAAAAGCACTGTGATGATGATAAAAAATTTGTAGCATTTTGAAAATGAAAGGCCATGAAAAAGACTGCCAACGCTTTTCAGAACCAACAGAAGGTGTACAATAAGCTATAGACTACCAGTCGGTATAGAGAAGAGAACATCTGAAAAAGGTCCAAAAAAGTCCAAAATATGTGTATAAAAGTAGAGTTGGTTAAAATCTTTATAAGCAGTCAGTAGGAGTGTATGTGAAGGTGAACAGATCCTAAATGACCAATCATTGCTCTTTTACCCAAACAAAATCTTAGAAATAAACTAACTTGTTCAACTGGTTCACAACAAAGCACTTCTGTCCGTGACAGGGTCACACCGTTTCAAAATCTGACCACAATTCCCTCATCCAACACTAAGTCTTAAAACACATCCAGTTTAATTTATCTGAGGGGTCACAGATTAACCGATCTGGGTCTGATTTAAGTACGAAAAAACTGCTTTCGGCCTTTGGGAGCTCATCTCTTGGGTCACGATTCGACAAAGTTGTGTACTGTCTCATCTCTGGCCTGGGCAGCACACAGCGGCTGCCCCCCGCTGACCGCTCGGAGCATGTGGTCCAACAAAAGATGCCTTCGCCCCCCCCCCCCCCCGGGGGGAGACATTCACTCCCAATTGTTTACGCCCGAACAGGTGTGGACGGCTTTAATAAAGATGAGCGGCTGAATCTGACTCTGACCGCTGGATATGAAAATATCTCTTGACCTTGCGAGCGTGGATTAGAGTGCACGTCTGTGGGGGGGTGGGGGCACAGCATGCCCCGCGATCCTCCCCTGCCTGATAAGCCGGGGCCAGAATTTATGGCCCCTCGGACCGTCTCCGCCGCGGATTACGGGATACACAAATGTTGATGCGCGGGGTGTGGGGAGAGGTGCTAGACGTCGTCCTCTCGGGTTTCAAGGTTTAGCCGGAATCCCGCAGCTTTCTCAACGCAAGTGACTAAGAAAATCTTCCCCGTGGGGGGGGGGGGGGACACAGACAGGAAACGCTGAGGGCCCCGAGTCAGCGCCAGATCATAAACACCCCACATGTTTTGTTCTCTTGTTCCCGTTTTTTCCCTGGTTTTGTGTGTCTCCGAGGAGCAATAGCGTCGCCCTACAGCCGACTACGTGGCTGTAATTCCCCCCAGGGTTCAGACACAAGCCCGGCACTCACTAGCATGTGTCCATACCGGGCCCCCGTCCGTTAATCGAAAAGCGAGCGCCGGTCTTTAGGAGAAATGCCAGCGGGCAGACCCGGAAAAGAGCTGACGGAGATGCAGTTCCCTCTCCAGACAGGAATTACTGAAAGATGGAGAAAGAGGAAAAACAGGAAAAATGAACCACATTCCCATTAAATACCTATTTGTTATCACTAAAGAAAATCATAATGAGTATGCTTCCCCAATTAAGGGCAGATATGTTAAAGACACACAAAGAAATGGAAAAATACAATGAAAAAAATCTAGTAACATGTCAAATTGACAAGTTAAAAAGATTCTGGGTCTGAATGTAAAATAATTACGTCTATAATTTATATAATTTGAATGATCAGAAAAAATGAAAATGTTAAAGTGTTCTTTTCTGAGATGGAGATGCTGATTTAATTAAAATGATGCCTTAAATCCCTAGAATAAGTAAAATAAGATGAACCGTCAAAAATCCACCAAAATCGACATTTTTGCTATCTTGAAGAGCAATAACCAAGTTGAAAGGGCTGTAAAATAAAAATAAAATCCACTATTGTCACATGTTATATAAAACTATTTTTTCCCTTAAAAAGACTAAATTGTAATTTACGATGTAAACCTTTCTGCATCAAAACTACAAATAATAAAGGTTAAAAAGCCAAAATGGATGCAAACAAAATTAGAAAAGTAAAAATATACCAATCATTCAATTGAACACAGTTCCAGAATTCCATGGTCACCATGGCTCCTCCTGAGGATCAGGATGGCAGCATCTTTTAAAACAAACAATAACACAAAGGGACCTATAGCTTTTTCCATTCACATTTCACTACAGCCGGTTTTAAGGACATGTCACATTAATGTCAGGAAATAAAAGACTCCCAGACACCGACCGAAGTGGAACAACAAACTTACAAAATGGAAATTATCAGGTGTGAGTGATTTAAATAACTTTAGTCCTCATTATGTGTTTAACTAGCTTTCTGAATTTCAAAGTTCTCTCATGATCAGACCAGAAAGGAGAGATTTTCTCAGTTTCATACTTTTAAACATTGTTTTAATTAAAGAAAAATATCCCAAAAAGTGGAGGAAATTATTATAATTGAACAATATTTGTTGTTATCATACAGCTTTAATATATCATTTAATATAAACTCGCTTTAGAAACCTTTTTCTGCCCTAAAAAATGTTCTTTTTAACCCACTTTGATAAACATCACTGGTCTGCTAGATCATCATCCTCTACTGAACCAGTACAAATACTTTTAGGTTTTTAAATCTAAAAACCAAAATTCTCCCATGATCAGACCAGAAAGGAGACATTTTTTCAGTTTCATACTTTTAAACATTGGTAAAGAAAATATGGTATGGCAGCATCTTTTAAACCCTGTCCTTTCAAACAAAGAAGAACAACCTGTCCGCAGACAGTTGTATACACTTGACTGCATTTTTAGTTTTATGTTTAGCCAAGAACTGTGCATTGATATATGATATGTTTTTACAGGATGGATATTTATTAGCTGAAGAAATTCGGAGCATTACACGGACGCTAGGGGGCGACATGGGATGAATCCAGGCGTGAGGCCCGTAGTAATTTGGCTCCTCCCTCCTCACTGGCTCTAAGTCACGTGATCACTTATGAGTGGGAGTGTAAAGATGGCTGCCCTTGTCAGCAAATTCAATCTGGCTCGACTGAGAAGTTTCTGTTGTTTATATCCAATGTTTAATTTGAAAAGCCCACGTGAATTAATATGTCTGGTCGTAACTATTTTGGCTCTGATGAGCCAGTCGTTGGCAGACGACCAGGAATTCATTGAGGACTTTTTGAAGCGGGAATATTCTCTAGCAAAGCCATACCGCGGTAAGTTCGGAGCTCAGCAGCGTCAGTTTGGATGTTAGCTAATTGACGGTAGCCGACAATGACATTTAAGGTAACGTAAAGCGTTTGTTTGAGTTACTCACGTCAAATAATAATTTAAAGGTTATCGGTGTTAACCCTCAACGGCTTGGTTTCCTGCCGCGGATAATGATTAACTAGGAGGAACTTTGTTTAATCGTTGTCGGCTTTAACGGAAGGACGGAGCCTACTAACTGTAACACACTGCCGGTTACTGACTATGAATGCAAACCAGAACATTAATAAAAAGTCAATATGATCTATTGCAATAGTTGATTTTTTAAACTTTGGTTTTGTTTTGTTGTATTACCCCAGAGAAAACGTTTAACTCTTGGTGGAGTTGTCTGCTAAACAGATAAGAGTGTAAATAAATAATTTAGAATATACTGATTGTTGGTATTTTCTTAAAACTGTTTTCAGGTTTGGGCTTTTCGAGTTCCTCGCAGTGGGATCTGATGGGAACTGCCATGGTAACACCTGATCATGTGAGGTTGACCCCAGATCTGCAGAGCAGACAAGGAGCCGTTTGGAGTCGAATTGTGAGTGGCCTGCAACCGCCTGCTGAATGCAGCTGCTCCTCATGTTGCAAAACCGTATCTGATCTTCACACTTCCTGCCTCTTTGAGGACAAGCTATTCAAAACCAGCACAACTTAGCTTTGGAAGTGAAATGATATAGATTAAATTTGTCTCTGCAAAACAGGTTTTTATCTTTGAAGAAGACTAATTTCTCACATCTCACCTGACTTTTGGTTCTTCTTTCTTTTACTCTGTAGCCCTTCTTTTTGCGGGATTGGGAGCTCAAGATACACTTTAAAATCCACGGTGTGGGAAAAAAGAACCTAAACGGGGATGGACTTGCCTTTTGGTTGACCAAAGAGCGCATGCAAAATGGTAAGTTGCGCTTGAATCACTGTTAACTCATGATAATCACAAATAATGTTCTAGATATATTGCTGTATAAAAAAACAATGAAACGATCAACAGATCTTGTTTCCACAAAGATGTTTTCAAACTTAGATGTTTCAAATAGGACTTTTTTCCAATGACATCACTGTGTTAGTATTGACTGACATTCTTACATGGCCACGTCTTTTTTACACTTTGTGTCTTGAGGTGTCAGAATGTGTGAATACCAGAGTCGATTCCTCCTAAAGGCGTAGTGTTCCAGTTTCCTATCTGCACACTTGACAGCTGGCAGTTTGTTTAGGTTAAACTCTATGCCATTTTCACAGATGCGTATGCCCCCCTAAAATGTCGTCTGTGAACTAGACGGTTGACATATTTGAGTTCAAATTCCTGCAGCTCTTACTCTGAGCATCTTTTGAAGATTCTCCCTCTGGCTAAATTTGACAGCAAACCTTTTGAAAAGTTTACCGCCTGTTTGTGGATGTGCAGGAGCTATTGCTTCAGGTTCCTTTCTGCTCACCTGCTGAACACTTGCAGCTTCTAATTGTGGCTCTGAGAAGGTTTAGTAATGAGGTGTGGTTCGAGACGCACGGTGGAGTCTTATGTCTAATTTTCTTGAAAAGAAACCAGTTATTTCCACAACATATGAGTCACATATTGCCCTCAGGGTGCTTTAGACATAAGGTCTCCCACACCTACTTCTCTCCCGCTTCCGTCGGAGAGATGGCTTCTCCAGCAGAAGACCTCCCGCTGTGACAGAGTTCAGACAGAGGCTTGATGACATCGTCCTGAAAAATGAGCCGATGTGTGAACAGGGTTCCTGCGAGGAAACGGTGGGCAGTGCGCCCTCGTGCAGCTTTGAAAAACGACGTCCTCTTTAAGAATTAGCATGTTGACCGGAGTGTGTCGTTCTCATTAAGCCACATTGAAACCAGAGCTTATGAATAGCCATTATTAGCACAGAGTCCTTTGATGTAGGACTTGATATCCTTTTAACACTTTCCTGTGACATTCAAAAGCCAGATGTTGGGTTGTTGTTTACCAGTACGCTTAGTTAGCAGCACTGATCAATAAATTGTTCTCATATAACAGTCATACATGTTTAAACCCAGTGATCACTGCATTTTTCGGGGCCCAGTGTTGTTACTGAGGAGGTCGAAACGTATCTTTATGATCTGAAACTTGCGATAATCTGAAAGCACAGGCCTAAAGGACTCGTCCCTCAGTCTCAATGTACAGCCTGCTAACTGGAAGAAGCTAATTCTGAGTCTGCTGACCAAAGTGGCGATATCAAGTTTGTGTCTTCAGTGGTGGCAAAAGAAAAAGAAGACTCTAAGAAGCTCTGAGGACATTCCTCTCGAGCACTGCCCTCTGAAATGATACAGCTGATGAAAAAAAACGACTGATTTAATTGTGAAAATGTTCCTTTTGTAATATATGTTTGAATTCTGCATATTCGGTTATAAATCTCTTCCATAATTTGAATGTAGTCAGAATGATGGATAAACCTGCCTATTTTATAGCCGATGGGTGCTGTTTTCAGCAACTTGAACCAATTTTTTCCTTACGGATGTGTTATTTTAAGGCATCACAGTGTGTCTTCCCCCTCACCATAATAGTTGAAAAACCCTCTGAAAGGTTTTATTTAACCAGGTAAAAGACCCTTTGAGACTGTGACCTACTTCTCCTTAGACCAGAACTAAAGATCAGTTGATTGTTGAGTTGTTTAAATGTTGTCATCACTGTCATTTCCGTATTGATTAATCCGACTGTTGCTTTACTTTATTGTTGGCAGGTCCTGTTTTTGGCAACATGAACCAGTTTACTGGACTTGGAATATTTGTGGACACTTATCCTAATGCAGACAAAACTCATGATGTAAGTGATCGTTTACAGCTTCTGTTTAATCTCCAGTGTTTAACTCAAAGGGGACATTGACATGTTGAGGCTGGTTGGAATAGACATTTTAGAGGTGTGTCGGAAAGGGAGAATTATTGTAATTCAACCCAGTGTCACCCTTTGTGTTTTCTTATTTTACTTCAAAGGACGCAAAATCTCTTTATGATCTTTTAAATTGTTCTTGAATGATAATTTTTCAGGTTGTTTAGCGTTTTTCTTTGGACCTGGATGCCTTTTGAAATAGGGATGAGTCACAGATATATCGGCACAGCACCAGAATTGCCAGTTATGTAGATTGTGCAATTGGCCTTTGGAGGAAAAAAAAGAGGTGAATTCAGTTCAGCAAACTTTTTCTTTGCCTTGAAACTGAGCGGACTGTCCAGTAGGAGGCAGCCAAATTCAAGAGTTTTTATCTACAGTAACACATAACAAATAAAAGGAATGAAAAATGGATGTTAACTGAATGGAAGAAATAGCTGTGTGAGCTTAAATGGATTTAGTGTTTTGATAGTTAAATGTTGAGTTTGGATTTTAAAAGAGAAAATGTGTTTGTGATTTTCAGAATAGATTTTTTTTAAACAAGTCTTAGTCCAGGAAATCATTTTATGTAAATCAAACTTCACGAAGAGAGAGCGCCCAGTAAGAAGTACACGTTCTTTGTATGCCTTACAAAGCTCCTCTTATGCGAAAATAAATCTTACATTCTCTAACTCACCCTAAATAAAGAGCAGAGCAGGCAGTAAATCACTGACCCTCTCTGACCGAGCAGGCAGCAGCCAAGACGAAACATTTTAATTCCCACAAATGTAAGAAGAACAGTGGACACCAACCTTCCAAACTGAGCATGCAATTAAATCGTCATGTCTACATCGCAGGAAAGAGCTCATGTTCCTGGTGTCTGATGGTAGAGAGCCCTGTAGCGAGGATCAGTGGACAGGGTCAGGCTTTACAGAAAACTGTGTCTTTTAGAGTATTTTTTTCTTTTTCAAAACATTAACGTTTAGAATATTTGAGGAAAGCTTGGATGTTAGTTCACTGAGACCGTTGGTGACTGAAGGAGGCATTAGGTTTGCTGGAGTTGGATGGGCTGAGTGTGGCCTGACGGGTCTGGTTCCAAACCAGTCTAAAGATGTGAGTGAGCCTAGTGTCGGACATGGTTATCGAGGCTTTTCATGAGGAGCTTGTTGATGGTTTCTGGTCCAGTGATTTAAATGGGGCAGAAATCAGGCTGGAGTTGCTCGAACAAGTTGAATCAGAATGGATTGTTGTTGTTTATAGCAAAAATTCTGTCATGAAAAGTAAATTGTATAATGAAAAGTCAATTGTAACTGATTTTGTCATTGTTTGTTTTTGCTTGAGTTCTGAACTTCTTTTCTTTAAAATGTTTAAACCCATGTTCAGTGCAGTTCTTGAGCCCGATTATTGACACAGGAATCCATCACGGGGACACACAGAGACACACAACCACACACTCACATTTACTCCTAGGGGCAATTTAAGTAAGTGTCCAATCAACCTAACATGCAGGTTTTTGGATGGTGGGAGGAAGCCGGACTACCTGGAGAGAACCCACATAGACACAGGGAGAACATGTAAACCCCACACACAGGTCCTCGTCCCCCAGGGACTCGAACCGGGAACCCTCTCACTGTGAGGTTACCGAGAAACCTCAATTTTTTTACATTACGTTTAGAAAACAGCTTGAAAGACCTATAGTACTGTTGCACTAGCTAAAGGTTTTTGCTTCAACTCCAAATTAAGACATGAAAAAAAGAATCCACAGCTACTAAAAACAAAGACCTCATACAGGACCTGAGAAGGGTTTCAGAATGTCCTTTAGGGGACCTGAAGAACTAATCCTGAAGACGATTTAAGGAAATGACGAGAAAGCCCATCTCAAACAGCCTGTGACATCGCAAATGAGTGAACCCGACTGTTTGTGTGTCGCAGAGGACGTTCCCGTACGTGTCCATGATGCTGGGGAACGGGACGCTGGCGTACGACCACGACCGGGACGGGCGGCCCAATGAGCTGGGCGGCTGCTCGGCGATGGCGCGCAATTCTATCCACGACACGTTTCTCCTGGTCAGATACTCCAGAAACAGACTGACGGTAGGACGGCTCTTTCAGAGCCTTTTACATAACCGTGTTTTAATAGAAAGAGTGCAAATAATGCCCTCGAGAGGCTTCAATTACACTATTTAATGGTTTTAACATCATGTAATGAGTCAGGGTGATGTTGATGGTTTTAAATCTAAATGAACTAGAGAAAAGATGGATTAAAGATCTGGTTCTGACTGCCCCTCTAGCTCATGGTGGACGTAGACGGCAAGCAGGAATGGAAAGACTGCGCCGACGTCACGGGAGTCCGGATTCCCCTGGGATACTTCTTTGGGGCCTCCTCCGCTACCGGAGACTTGTCGGGTATGAAATCGCGTTCAAAGCTTTGTCTGAGCTTTTTTTCTTTTTTACCGCGAACGGACGCGGGTTTCCTCAAGAAGAAGTGTTAACTGTCGGCTTTTTTCACCAGATAACCACGACCTCATCTCGATGAAGCTGTACCAGCTCACGGTAGAGCGGACTCCAGAGGAGGAGGAGGAAGAGGAGGAGGTCACCATCCCCAGAGTGGACGACATGGACCAGTTCCAAGGTAAACGCAGCACATAAGTCAGTCCATTCTTTTATCAGACTCCTAAATGAGTCAGTCCAGTCCTAAATAATCTCAGTCCAGTCAGCAAAATCTATGACCACAGCGAAATAAATCTGTAAAATGGATTGCAGGAATTTATCAAAAAATAAATTGGTGGCACATTCCCAAAAAATAAAATAAAAAATTCTATGATTACAGCTAAATAAATCTGTAAAATGGATTGCTGGAATTTATAAAAAAAAAAATTTAGTGGCACATTCCAAAAAAAAAAGATATTTTTCTGTATTTCTGTAAGTTTGCGTCTCACACGTGTTCATTCAGACGCTCCTATTTGTTTGGTTTCTGCAGTGGAGGTGGAGGAGGAGGGGATGAGCGGAGTGCACTTCTTCTTCACCCTCCTCTTCTCGGTGATGGGCCTGGGGGTGCTGGCGGTGGTGGGGCTGGTGGTCTACAACCGCTGGAAGGAAAACCGGCGCAAACGTTTCTACTGAGAGCCAGCGGGTCCAGGCAGGTTTTTTTCCACGTGAACACAAGCAGCCCAAATGAGCGGGTGTGGAACTGAGCCGTGTAAAATAGGGTTTTTAGATGATTTTTTTTAACTTATGCAAAATGTACAATGACAACACGGTTCTCTGGGGGAAACGGGGTGTGTGTGTTAACAGAAGCAAAGAAAACAAAACGACAAAAAAAATAAGAAGTTGATCTCAGTTTTAAGCACAGAAGGACTTATTCATCTGATCTGCACTGAACCTCCACTAACCGGAGGTTGGAGAAGCCTTTAAATCAAATGCTGGGGGGGATTTCCTGACACGTTACAGGATTTTGTTAAGTGGGAAAGGGGCACTCGGTGGTCCTACCCACGCGGCGCAAACACACACGTCAGGGAAAGTTTTTTTTTTTTTTTTTTTCTTTCAAAAAAGCAATTCAAATTAACGTGTAGAAAACCATTGTGGAAATTAGTGCTTTCTCATGCCACTACACCACAGAGCATGACTCCAGTGTGTGCGTGTGTGTGTTTGTGTGTGAGAGAATGCAGATACAGAAACACAAACCGGGTTCGTGGAACATATGGAAGCAATCCAGTCAATTTGTGCGGCATGTTCGGAGTTTAAAGAGGGTCCGGTCAATCCAGCTGAAGACAGATGTGATCGGCCTCGTATCGTCCGGTTAAATCCCCTCTCTGTTCCAGTGCGTCTGGCCAAAGCGGACACAGTTTGGAGGACAGATGCTAACTGCACTTAGCTTACTGTGTCCAATCCGTTCGGTTAGATGTGGCCCCTCCGGTTTGGAAACGGCTGCACCTATTTGAAACCGGCTTAAATCCCTACTGTACGTAGCACAGCCTGCAGCTGCCTTTAACCTGCAGCTCCGGTCAGACACCGGGTAGGAACTCTGACCCACCCGCCATCAAACTACTTTTAAGACCTGTCGCCCTGTGACCCTCTGACCGATTCAACGCGTGCTGAACCCCTGTGCGTCCATCAGGGGCCGCCTCCAGCAGCTCACAGACCACACAAACGCAGTGGGCCATCGATGATCCATGATTTTGGGACATTAAAGGAACAAAGTTACTGCTCAAAGTGCCTTCCGAACGCCAACTGTGAAGACCAATCCCCCCTCTGTTCCAGTCCCTTTTGGAGGTTTTAGCTCCACCTCGGTTTTCTAATTGGCCATCGTGTTATTATATTCAATTCGATCCCTACAATTAGCACTTGTTAATCATTAGAAGATTAAAAATGAAGTACCGTAGTAAATCAGTCTCCACGTATCGGTCGGGCCGCTTTTTTTTGCTATCGGAATGATTTTTTTCTACAAAACAACACAAATATTTTCTTATCTCAGCTGCTACCGAGTCTGTGACCACAGCCTGTGGTGTTTTTTGCTTCAGCGCACACTGCCAGCTACCAGCCGTTTACACCATCATGTCCTCGCGTGCGGATCTGGTCAGAGCTCGTTTGTGAATGTGAGTTTGTAACCGTAAAGTCTGTTTCCGTCATAGAGGCTCCAGCAGTCCGGGGTTTAGAGGCATTTCCAAGTTAAATTTGGATGCAAAGTACCTCTTTAATCATGTACTTAAAAAAAAAACGCATGGGAATAAGCATTTTAAGTTTGGTTGAGGTAAAGTAAATGTGTTCATGATGAATAAACTGCCACAACATTTCACAAGTGCTAATTAAACAGTTTAAAGGTAGAAAATGTGGTGGAAAATGTTCTATATCCTTTGGACAGAAGCAGTCTTTTTTTTCTAGAAGCCGTAATCGAGCTTCCACATCCCGTGGGGGAGTTTTTCCCTGTGCAGAGGTACGTTTCTGAGCGCCTTTCAAACTCGGACAGGAAGTCCACCAGCTTGTGAGACGCAGCCAATTTGGTTTCCTGTCATTTCCTGTCATTTCCTGTCATTTTCTACCCTAACACATGCGGACACAAGAGAATTGGAGCGCGTCAGACTCGGACCAAAGGTGGTCAGACCTCCCGTAGCTTCTCTTTTTCCTCAGGTGTTGGAGACGTCCCCTTATGGGAAATCAGTGAGATGTCCCTGTAACCCCAAAAAGCCTCCTGCCAGGTGGAGGATAAAGAGATTTGGCATTTTTAGGTGGTTGTTTCACGTAACAAGGCCGACTTTATCCAATATTCTGATCTTATCCTCACTATCACGAGCTGCTGACAGCAGGCCATTCCTGAGTTATAATTAGTGTTTTTCTGAGCCAATGTACAGTGTGTGTGTTTGTGTGTGTGTGCGCTGAAGCATAAATTCAAATGAATTCCTATTCAGAAATCAAGTTTACACATAAACAGTAAAGTTAACTTTTTTTGATTTAGTGTAATTGACTGTATAATGAGCCAAATGTCCAATTTCTGTTTTTCTTTCAGTAGATGACAAAAGCTGGATTGTGTTGTTGATTTTCTTTTTTTTGTTTGTATGTTTGTCACAGATTTGTTAGCCTCGTCAATCTTTAGTTCAATAGAACTGCTAAGTGGCTTTTTTTATTGTTTGTTTTGCTGTGTCTAGAATATTATGGTCATCGTCTTTTTCCTAAAGGGTTATTTTTCTTTGCTTTTGCTCTTGTTTCTGCTGTAGCTGTGTATTCATGTCTTTTTTGACAAGCCATCTGTTGTAATCACTGAAATCATCACAAGCCAATCAGCTCTGTAGGAAATAATTTTAAAATGATGTTTGTTAGTCAGTGTCAAATCTTGTCTGAAAAGTGAGTAAAAGACAGAATTTCTTCATTAAACTTTGTTATTTTGATCGTGATGTGATGTGTATTTGTCCACATTTAAAATAATGAAACTTATGTGAGCGCAGACATTGTAGTACGTTAGAACAGCTCAAATCTGTGAAATGAGCATTTGGTTGGAACACAAAGTCTCAGGACTAAGGTTTGGAATGTAGACATCGCCATCTGTAGGCTGTCTGAGACCAGAGAAGCCCACATCTGGACAACAGGTGGAGGAGGAACATTTGCCAGCACACAAGAACTAAATAAAGGCACAGGTAAGTAAATGTGAACCCTTGATAGACCGGGTTATCATCAGTGGTAATATTAGTCCAGATTCTCATTTTTCCAGGCCCTGGTGAACTTAAAAGCTTGCATAAGGAAAGCTGGACTTTTGTACATGACCCTAAAAGGGTTATTTCTGAAACATCCCAAAAGGAGTCCAGCTGCCCTCCATCAAGCTGTCCGTATCATCAGTGGTACTGAACTCTTCACATAATATCTGAACCCATTTCTAGATCTGTCTTAGAAATTAGGACACTAGAAAAAAACAATTCAAGTTTTCTGAAAACCCGTTATAGACATTAAAGTTTCCATTTGAATGTGGCTGAACAGATTCAAGAGTGGAAGCTTTGTTTTTCAAATTCAAATGACTAATGACAATACTCTGAGTTCTTTCTTCCTTTTGGATCAGTTTTGTTTTTGTGGCTGAAAAAGGAACGAACGGCGAACGAAATGCGTGAATGTTTTACCATCTTGCCGTCCTATTTTTTTCCTCTGGCCGTGGACACCCCTCCTCTTCCCTGTGAACTGTAAATGTTAACTGTAAATACTCGGCAGAAAAACAGGCCGAGGTTGCCTTCTGTATGCTGTCAGTTCACCTCGGTGCTGCTGGTAATGCCATCAAAAAAACTCCACCACCTGGATATTTGGAAAAACTGGATACAGAGCACATAAGGTAAGACCTCAGATCTTTCATTCAGATGTAAAATATTCTGACATCTACACACAAATAAGATCATATATAGAATAGAAGAATAATTATAGTTAATAAGTATAGTTAAATATAAATATAGTTAATGATTATCATTATTATAGAATAATATAGAATTTTTTAAGCTAAAGAAGAAAGAAAAATAAGATAAGTAATGTACTAATTAAAATGTTGAGGGTTTAAAAAGCCAGTTAAAAAGTTGAAACCTCTGCCAACATTTTAAGAGACAGTTTATTTCTGAAATATTTCAAACTGATGTACTCTTAAAACTTACAAGCTGCTGTGAGTAAGTAGAACAGACACTTGCCTTAAACTGTATTTATTAAACACATTCCCGTGGTTTTAAATTGGAACAAGCCTGGAGATAAGATCAGATAACGATAATTAAAACGAGCAGGGAGGACAACGGGGTCCATTCAGGCTCCCGACTCGCTGTTGCCATATCAAACAACCCTGTCCTGTAAACAGTGGAAGTGCAGTTCGGCCTGAGCTCCTTCCTACATCATCTGACATCACAGGCAGAGCTGATGTTAAATAAATTACCCCGTGTCATTTCTCCTCTTTTTTTTTCAGCGACTGAGACCCAAACTTGGGAATTCTTTGTGATCTCAGAGGAGAAACGAGGAGGATGAATCGTTCCTGTGTCAACTACCTGAAGACTCTGGTCATCTTCCTCCATTTCCTCTGCTGGGTTGGTGTTGATACGTCTTTAAACACTTCTGTAATCCAAAGATGACTGAATGTACAGGACTGTCTCAGAAAATTAGAATATGGAGATAAAGTTCTTTATTTTCTGTCATGCAATTAAAAATCATGAAATGTCATACATTCTGGACTCATTACAAATCAACTGAAATATCGCGAGCCTTTTATTGTTTTAATATCGCTGATTATGGCTTACAGCTTAAGAAACCCAAATATCCTATCTCAAAATATTAGAATATCGGATTTTTGAGTTTTCTTCAGCTGTACGTGCTTATGACCAAATATGGGTATAAAGTGCAAAAAGCAGCTTTTATGAATCAGTATTTTTTATCAAGAATTTCAGGGTTAGTTTAACCACAAAATAAATGAAATCTTAATGATGTTATTAATGATTTGGGGGGTGACAAGGTGAGTTTGGGTGCATGTCACTTTGCCATACAGGATTTTCGAATCTCAGCCTCCGCCCGGAAAACTAAAAGTTTCTTCCGTGTCTTTTTCTTGGAGCTGTGCGGAGCCTTCGTGGTGGCTTTCGGGGAGTTCCAGATGATGCACTCCAGATTCGCCTCATTGGTCACCTCCTTCTGGCCCATCTACCCGGCCAACACGCTGGTGGTGACCGGCACCATCGTCACCTGCGTGTGTTACCTGGGGGTGCTGGGGGGCATGAAGGAGAACCGCTGCATGCTCCTAACGGTCAGTCTGGAGCTTGTTTTCTGTCTTTGCTTTATAAGCTGCTTCAGAGGGATAACACTCTCCTCCCTCCTCCAGTTTTTTGTCCTGCTCTTCATCCTGATGCTGGTGGAGCTGGCCATGGCCTGCGTGTTCTTCGTCTACAACAGAGAGGTGAGAGAACAGGTTTCCGCTTTGCTCCGTTTGGGACATCAGTCCAGCTAAAATGTCGATTCGACTAATACGGATTAGTCCTTTACACATCTCCAGAGCAAAAATTCTGATCTGCTGCCCAGAGACCGGTGGCTGTGATGTTCACTGTCTCTCTCTGTAGATCGATACCTACTTCGAGAAGGATCTGATGAATAGTTTGGAGATCTACAGAGAGTCCAAGCCAGGCGAGAACAAGCTCATCAAAGATGACTTTGATGAAGTCCAGTTCCTGGTAAATCCTTTTCTTTGACAATTTTAAGGCAACTTGGCCCTAAATGATGAAGCTTTAAAAAACATATATGGCAAAAATTTAATTGTTAACATTGATTATCTAATACCTTTTAAAAACTGACATATAAACTTTCCTGGAAGCATTTAAATAATCGTATATATGCATGTTTTACATTTTGATTTCACATTTGATGCTCGTTTGCTACTAATCTCACAACCTTAGACTCTTAGAGATAAGTTTAGAAAAAGGTTACTTGTTTCATATACAAACACATTGCTAAGCATCTATACAAAATTACATTCTGCATAAAAAGGCTTTGATGGAAATATGCAATTATGAACATCATGTTTTTTTAATGTGGTGCTATTTGTATTTCTATTTCCAACCACGGAAAATGATGTTTGCCGATGGTTTCTAAATGTCTTCATTTATTACCCCGGCTCTGGAAACACAAACAGTCCCAGCACTGAAGCGTTCGATTGTTTTTTTTTCTCTACAGTTTAAATGTTGTGGAGTTCACGGAGAGGCTGACTGGAAGGGCAACGTCCCCGTTTCTTGCTGCACAAAGGACCCCTGCAACACCGGAGACCAGCCCAACTGGAGAGAGGTGGGACCAAAGGAGATGGAAACCAGTTTGTGTTTGAAGAGATCCTCAATTCGAATGCCAGGAGAGAGAAACCAAAAAAGTGACCTAAACGAGCCACAACAGAGCAGAGGATCTCTTATACATAATCCCTCAAACTGAGCTTTTCTTTTGGATTTCTTTTTGTCTTTGCTGAGTTAAAAAAAACTGAGTGGTCACACACCAAAGACTTTCTGGACCATATCAAATTATATGTATCATATTTCATACATACGGTTTCTGAAATCCTCTGCTTCTGAGACCTTTTGCATCATTTAGTGGTGAAAACTTTGCTCCAAACCCTGTTGTACACAATCAGATATAACTGATAACAACAGGCAGAAACCATAATGATAATAATTATTATTATAATAATTCTGACTTATCACACCGTTATGAAAGATGAATATTCAAACATTTTGTTTTTTCCTTATTTTGTTAGCGGGCAAAATGAAGACTAAGGACCCCCCCCCAAAAAAAAAAAAAATCTATTTCTTGGATCAGGCTTTAAAGGGTTAAATCAAAAGATTAGAACCACAATCTGTGTTTGAAGGGTTTTGTTTCGCGACACAATCGTCACAAAAGTGAGACATCAAAGCGACTTTCCACCTCTCCCATTCTGTTACAGGTCAGCTCTTATTTGTTAGTAAAATCATACAGTGCGTAAAAAAACATCGGCTTGAAGAAATGTAGGAAATCTACATCTTTCTGCTTATTTTGGAGGAATTTTGGCCTGTTTTACTTTTGATGTTTCTTCATCTCATTGTCGGAAAATCACTTGACTGTAATTGACCTCTAAGATCTATTTAATTAATCAATTTTTCATCACCTTTTTAATTTCATCATGTCCTGAATTATCTGTGTTTTACCAGTTCACGTGTATGGATAATGATAACAGAATTTGTTTTCCTACAGGGCTGTCTGATCAAATTGAGAGACTGGTTTGCTGGAAACTACCTCAGCACGGCTTCAGGAGTGGTCACAATGTTTATAATACAGGTGCAGCTAACCTCTCTCATTTTCATGTCCTAAAATCCAAATCAGACTGCCTTGCAGGTCTTCATTATATATTTAAATCCACACCCTTAATTGTCCAGAAGGATGTATAAGTGGGAAATATGGCAGCACTATGATGTCACATCTCAAAATGGTAAAATGTTAAATTACACCATTGAGTAAATTAGATTTAATATGCAAGAGAAGCTGGGAATGCAACATTTGGCAGATATATGAGATGTTTTTTTTTATTTATTGATAATAACTGAATTATTTCAAGTCTGGCTGATATAAGATGATAGTTTTAACTCCACTAGTTCGTGAATGTTCTAGTATGCTGACCAGTTTTGGCTGATAAAGAGCTGACCTATGCAGGCAGTGGTTTTTGTGTTTATCATTTCTTTAAAAAAAAGAATCAATGAAAGAGTGAAAGTTGAGTTAAAATCATTTGAGTTCACATAAAGAACAAATTGCCATCTGTGGACAGAGTGTACATTTAGGGCAAATAATCGCTCCAGCTAAACCCGAGTGTTTTCCTCTCTGCCCACAGTTCTTTTGCCTGAGCGTCACCGTCCCTCTCTTCTGCCACTTCAGTCGACGGGGACTCGGCTACCAGTGAAAGGGGAAACACGAAACGGCTGGAAACGCTTCTCCTCGTGTCTACCTTCTATTGATCTGTCCCGATTTCAGCCACCAAGATGCTAGCAAGCTGAGGAAACACCTGTGATTGGTTCCTGAGCATCACACAATGTCATGTGAGGCAAGACTCCAGCAAGAGTGATGCAGAAGGGGATTTAATGCTCAAAGAGGGTCAATGTTATTTTCTAAAAATATTCCTAACTCTAAAAGAGCTTAAGATCAGTTTCTCTTCTTTACTCTCCAATTAAGTACCCGCTGTTTTTCAGCAGGTCTGCTCTCCATAGATTCATATACATTTATTTTCATGTCCTTTCGTGGATAACACATTGAACAAATTGGTCTTGGGAGCTTGAATGTCTGACAAAGGCTTTTGGACCCTTTTTCTTTAAGTATTGTGATAGGCGTACAGTAATGTTAATAAAGTAGCTCTTTTTTCAAAGGATCAGCACTGCACTTTGATAACTATAGTTTTTATTCTTCTCCTTTACTCGTCAGTGGTCCAGGTTTAAAATTGTAATGGGAATCCCACCAAATGCTGATATTAATAATCTTCTTTCAATATTTCCGTGTTTTAATTTTTTGAAGATATTCAAACTCTGCCAAATTGCTAAGCAGCAGTGCCTGTTATACCTTAATCAAAAACTGGCACTGGGTTACTTTGAGAGTGATCCAAATATCTAAATTCTTGATTTGATTCGACCGACCCAGCTGAGATGAGTGTTCTTATCTGTTGCCTGTATCCTCTAACACATGATCGTGTTCATATTGTTTGAGCTTGCATGATCTAAAAAACATAAAACATATAACAACATTTTGATTTGTAAGAACAATTATGCTAGTTTCTTTTTCTGTCAGAGATAAATTGCTTGAATAAATCCAATTTTTGTTCGTCTTTTAAAGGTAAACAGAAGAGTAAAACCCAGGTCAGTTGAATTCAAAGATCCTCTCACAAAAATGAATGTATTATTTTTTTCAAGTAAATGTACCACTTGCAGGCTTGGGCCGAAAGTCACACATTTTCAAATGAATCCATTTAATTAATCTGGAGGACCAGATTCGGATAATTCTGGAGTAAACTGTTTAACTTTCGTTCTCGTGGCTTCACTTTCTCTTGTCTGACGTTCTAACACGCCTCTGTTGGATGGCTTCAGATGTTGATTGACATTGATTGTTAAATTTATACATTTTTGGCTTATTTATTTATATGTGCAATCATTATTAAACAATTAAATACATATTCAAGAAAAATAACTGTAAAAAAATTTGACATAGCATTTTGTATGATCCCAGCCACTATAGTAATTTTGTTTGGGAATCAGAGTTGGAATAACATATTCATAGACATCTATTTTAAGGTAAGCTTATAATGGAATCAATACAGGTAAACAGAGACACGCAAAAGCCTGTGTATTTATGTATCTAACTGGAATATACAATGCCATTTTGCTCAGTCAACTGAGACAGAAAAAGAGTAGCTGAAAGATGTCCTCATGTCTGCTCTCAGAAGAATTAGCTGATATTTTAACTTGGGAAGGCACTGAACTGATGGTTATTCTCAATATTTATGCAGTTCAGGTACCCAGTGGAGTGTGAAATTCATCAGTATTAGTTCTGGTAGACATCTCAAAAGTTTGACAATGATGGATTTGTAGAGCACAATACAGATTTACTATCCTCTCACTGCCAGTGACAGTCAATAAGTTTCCTCGTAAAGAAGAAAACGACATGAAGGAAAATTGATTCTAGCCATCACTGGTGTCATCGTTTATGCCGGTAAGTTGAGAACTTTCACTGGGTTCAATGCCACTGCTTATAAGGGAACACAGAAACTCCAACAAAGGTTTGATGACTGAATAGTAAGAGGAAGATTGTCTCTCCAAATGCTGATCTAGGGTTTGTCTAACCCTAAATGTACCCTCAAAAATGTAAAGTAGGCGTTGAACTTATTGTCACTGATTCTGTCACTCAGCGATGCCTCTATTAAAGACTCCTCTGTGTAAAAAATTGGAGCAATCCTCTCTTTGTGTTTGCAAAAGCAATCATTACTGATAGCAGACTAATGGGGAAAAATGCAAAGGCGTACCATTGTCCTTTTTTATTTTTAGCATAGTTTAAAGTTAGAAAAAGAACACAACGGCGTGTTAAATCAGAGCAGGGTAAGTTTAGCCGTGCATTTATTTATTTATTTATATGGCTTTTGCATTTGGCCTTGTGCCTACTGATTTAAACGAGTGTAGCAATTACGGGCGGATAAGGAAGACTGCCGGTGTTGGGCCAATAAAATTACTTGAGGGTACATCTTTTATTCTTTGTCTTTAATTGTCTCTAAACGTAACATATTTGGAGTGATGTTCGCTAACGATCACAGATGTGTAGTGAAAAGCCTTTTCAGATGTGGATTGTGACATCCAACCGGTAAGGTCAGTAATAAAATGGCGTGGACAATAGTGTTTAATTAGTTAATCTTTATTCTAATTACTTCTTGAAGGCTAGATTGAAAAATAGGCGACATGGAGGGTTATAATAATCTGGTAAATTGCAGACATACTGTATGCATGCATCCCCATTGTTAATCAGCCCAGGTGAGCTTTGTGTGAGTGGAAATCCCACATTTCCGATATAAACAGAGCAAACTATTCTCAATTCGCTGGACTGTATTGAGACGCACTGGCCGCTGATTGGCCAGGGAAGCACGTGACTCACGCAAGCTCCGCCGATTGAAAGAAACGCCCCAAACTCAAACGTTCAATGTAATAACTTCTAAAATAATCAGAGTTGTAAATCCTTCATACGTAAACAAACACCGAAGTTCACCCTTTATTACCGTTCACCATAATTCTCTTTAACAGTTCTCCTTGTGGCAACTTATAAAACAGTTTTTATGAAGACTTCTTGTTAATATTTATACAATTATTGTTTTTATTGTTGCAGCTGCGTCAAAGGAATTTCCCCCTTTTGCATTAATAAAGTACTTGGAATTGAATCTTTAATGTCTCTGCCTCGTGTCGCATATAATTGACGTCACGGACCGTTCTACGACCTCACCTGTTATGGAAAAACACACTTGTACTCACAGAAAGCAGAGCAGTTTGTGGACACATGATTTCAGCTACCAGTTTGTCACCTGGAAGCAAGAAACATTCTATAAATGTATTTTAGAAAAGAAAAATGCTGATTAAGTGTGTGGAAGTGGCATTCTAGCATAGCAACAGTCACCAAGGAGCATAAGTTAAATAATATTGCAACGTTGTTAACAAAATATCGTATATATATTTGAAAAGGAAATAATATGTGTTATTATTTGTCTGTAAAGAAGTTGGTTTCCGTTTAAAATTTCTTCTACAGTCTCTAAAGAGACAAACGAAAAAATATGTCTATTGCACTTCAGATGAAAGCTTCAGGTAAGCTACCCAAAAAATTAGCCTAGCTAATCAAATTAGCTAACAGGAAACTACAGCCTTTTAAAAACGTATATTTTTTTGTTTTGTTTCTATAATGTTTAGATGAATTTGTCTCTTGTTTATGTATTTAGTATTAAAGAAAACTGACCTAACAGTCGCTTTTAGGTAGGCTATCCCTTTAATTGCTTTTTACCAAAAGTTATTTTTGGTTCAAATGAATACATATTTTGTGAGAAATATTCAGTGAGAAAATATGTTTTGTTACGTATGAGATGGATATGCTACACATAAAAATACAGAAAATTGTTTGAAAATGTCAGTTAATATGATTAATACTACAGAAAGCTAAGTTTAGCAGAATAAAATATAGAATATTATTCTTCCCCATAAAGGGAAATTAAGCTACATTCAGTCATGTAGCTAAAGATGGAAACCTGTAAAAAAGTAAGAAGAGCCTCTCACAACAACTCCTTCTCTGTCCAACTAAGATGTTGTGGAAGGGCTGTTTATGATCCTCAAATATAGAATATAATGTCCTCATACTTTGTCCCACCATAGTAAAGAACTGGCCTTTTCCCACCATTCTGGTTCAGGCTCCAGGAGCCCAGTTGTTGTCAGTAGTGCAACTCCCCCAAAAGACAACAGCATAAAACAGTGCACTGCCAATGTCAGTGCGATTAAAACATGCACAGCATGTCACTGCGGACTCTAAGACCTGATCTGACTCAGGAAGAAGAGACAGCTCTGTCCCTCCCTGTACAAGAACACCACCTCAGCTTATTATGCAGCAACACACTCAAGTATCTGCAGGTCTCCTCTCCATCAATGCAGGCCGACTGGCATGGTTTTGTCATTTGTTTTTGAAGGACAGAACACAATTTCTTATGCAGTGTTACCCAGAATAATCAAAATGTCTTTACTTATGTATTTTATTATCTAAAAGTCTTTTTACACACACTTTGGTTTTAATTTTCAAATATCCAGAGCATCCAGAATCTGTATATTTCCTGAATTTATTTGGGAGGCTATGCTTAATTCTATTCTTAAACTACTAAGAGACTCATTGTGACTAATCCTGTGTTAAACTACATTTTCTTTTCCAGAGAACTGGCTAGATGAGAGAACAACAAGGTCAGCAATGATGAACCAGGATGGAAATTCTGCCCAACAAATGCCAGTTTCCAAGTGCGAGATGCATCTGGAAGTAAGCCTCCTTCAGCCCGTCAAAGTTCAATGATAACCTTTTTCATATAGTGGTGATTTGAGCATAGAGAGCATTATAACTTCTATTTTTCATTTTCCCTTTCATCTAGGCAAAAGTAGAACAAGAGAGGCGGCGGAGGTACATCCTGATTAAGGAGTACAACAGGCTGACATCTGCCGTAAAGGAAAGACGAGACACGCTGACGCAGTTAAGGAAAGTGATCAACTCTCAGCCGGCGACTGGCGAGAGTAAAGACACGGTGGAGTGGGTGAGTCTGAACACCGGACATGTCGGTAAAGATGCCATCATGGCCCCCACTTTACTGGCAAGCCAATGCAAGTTCATTTGTAAAGCTAAATTTGTACACAAAGCAATCCAAAGTGCTTTACATCATATAAAAGGCAAATCAAAACAATAAAACATAAATGAAAATTATAATTGAATTAAAATCAATGTGGAAGAGTGGAGGTAAAATACCTTCAGTTGTCTTAAGGAGAAATATTCGCAGCCTGGATTTAAACAGTCATTTTCAGCTGTTCTTCTCACCTGTATTCTGGTCTTTGAGGGGTTGACAGACCAGCTGCTTGTGGGTAGTGTGAAAGGTTCTCCCTCCCTTGATAACAATTTACGAGAAGAAGAAATTGTTACCTAGACGCAGACATGTTGCAGAATCCTAAAAATCCATTTTCTCGCCATGCAAATGATTTTTCTGCTCATGCAGAAGAGTTCAAAACCAGCTCTCCTTCTTAAATTACAGTGAAACATCTGCCTTGCTGAAGTAGAAACCTTGATGTAAATCCACTTTGATCAAGGAAAAGATCTGACTACTAGATGTTTTCCCCCTTTAAATTATAAGCATTATTTTGGCTTTAATATACCGGTATATATATTTTTGAGTTGAGATTAGTGTCTCCTTGGCTATGTAATGGATAATTTAGTGTGCTTTGGACTAGTGTATGGACGTCTAAACAGAGACAGTTAGAGCTCTCTCTATATATATATTTCTAATCTTCTTTTAGTTAATGTCATGTCTCGCAGATTTTCTGCTTTATTTGGTAGTGTCAGCAAATACGACAGCTGGAGAACAGCCGAGAGAAAATGAAGATAAAGATGAAGGCGACTGAGAGGATCCAGGCCACCTACCTGTTCATCTGTGAACATCTGAAGAGTGTGAGCTTTGTTGTTTGATCCAATATCTGTCTCATCAGACTGCTTTTACCTGTCAAATAAGATCCTGTCGGAAACTTTTTTTCAACTTTAAGTCTAAAAGGTCCCACGTGAGTTTTTAAAAACGTTTTATTTAAACATTCAATAAAATATCCAATGTTTTTTCCCTTTTTTTTTTTTAGGAACTCCAAGCCATGGATAAAGTGATGGTTCAGAAGGAGCGGGAGGTCCTGCGGGGCCAGGTGAAGTTGGAAAAAGCAAAGAAAATACTGGAGTGTGCATTACCTGGTGTTCACAATGCAGTGGTACGGCCTCATCACACCAAACTTCACCTCTCAAACTCATTTTTACCAAAACATTATTTTTCTGTAGAAACGTTGCTGTTACATCTCAACTTGTATAGCATTTGTGACCCAAGAAATGTGTTAATAAGCTGTATTTAGTATACAATTAACGTATAAAGATCAGTATCAGCTGACTCCACCATCAAGTATATAGGGGAACTCATCAAAACTCACGAGGGTCTTATTCCAAGCATCATGTGTGTGACTGAGATAGGTTATAGATGCAACCATGTATTGAAACAGAGCTAATTTTATGCAAATATAATGCAAAAACAGGGTTTGCCCAGTTCTCACCAGTTTGAAAGTCAAATTTTCATATGAAGACCTTTAATATTCAACACCTGAACGCTCTTGGACAAGCTTTCTATCGTTATTCTCCAGGAATAGTCCCGCAGAGCTCTTGAAGGACATCCCAAGGCTCATTTTAGATGCTGGCTGCCTTTTGTTCCTTTCTCTGTGAAGAGGAGCCCACATTGCTTCAGTAATGTTAAGATCCAGGCCCATGGGGGGTTGGTTCTTCCCTCCAACTGACCTGTTGCCACTTCTTGTGTCGTTTTGGAATAGCTCAATCTTAATTTTCTTTCCTGTTTCTTAAGTATGGCTCCTTTACAGCCACTGTTCCATGGACATAATCTCTCATTCAACTCTATAGTGGATTTTTTTTCTCCAAACATTGTCCACTCAAGAAAAAAGCCATATATCCATCATTTTAATTGAAGTACCCTTTTGCTTAAATATTTGTGTGCTGGTGTGTAGTGGCTTGCTGAAATCAATACAATCCTTCAAAATAATTGTCAATTTATCTAAGGATTAAGGACTAAAAAGGAGTAAAAAAGGATGAGGCTAACCCTACAAAGATCCCATTTGATTAAAACCATCCAGTTTGAACAAGTGGACAAATTACAAACCACACTGTCACACATCAGAATTTACGTTTAAAATGTTCTCCAATGTAGAAATCATCTCTCACTGTTGTAAGAAGTGCACAACTTCCTCACCATTTTCGATAGAATGCTGGAACTCAGCTATGTTGGCTGTGTTTAACTCACATTTACAGTATGAATACAAATAATGTTGTGAAAAAAGAGACTATGAGCACCCTAGAATGTCTAAAATCTAAAGGCTAACTCTGTCACTGCTTCTCAAACTCCTCTGTTTGCTCTCCAGGATGAGATGGTTCAGATGGAAGACGAGTTCATCGCGAAGGGGCGAGAAATAAACGGCATGCTCTATGAGCTGGCCGCCGAAAAAAAGGAGCTGAAACATCTTATCGAACTGTCGGCGCAGAGCGGCTTTAAAGAGCAAGTAAGGACACCGAATATTTTTGATTTACGACCACGTCCAACACGTCAAAGCGTTCTGTGAGTGAGCAGCTGTTTGCGGTCGATTTGCCTTCCAGCTGCAGGGGACCGAGGAAGACAAAGCCTACTTGGCTTCTCCCACGGAATTCGCACAATCTGGTATGTGGGGCAGCTACACGCAAATGTTTCATCACGCTCAGTCAATCCCCGATGAGGTCGGTATTCATTTTAAACGTTAAACCTCCCAGAGGTCAGCTACAGAAGCTGAACCCATTTCTGGCACACTAGAGTCATTATCAGTTGGGTTAGACATTGTAAAGCACTTTGCGGGGCCTAAATTAGTCTAAAAGGTGCCACATAAAGATGATTTACTCCCCATGGGTGTCATAGCAGGGGGTGGGACAGTTAGCACTGATAGCTATTTCCCATAAAGACCCGTATCAGTGATCAAGCTCTCAGTCACAAGCCCATTTAGAGTAATCAGGGTGCTGGTCATATTCCCCACTCAACTTTAATTTTTTTCGAGGTCTCAGTTGCAGATTGTTGTGACTTGCTGGTAAAACTGAGCACAGCTGCTACCATGCCTCAAAGGCCAAAACAAATATTACATAACGACCCTCTAGGCTAAGAGTCATAACCCCAAATAATGCTTAAGAAGTAACTTAACTGATTGACCCCATTAAGTAGACAACATGGCAAAAATCAGACAATAATACACGAGTGATTTCTAATCTTAACAGCAGCTCCAGTTAAGATTGCAACCAGGAAATAAGACCTTATTCAGTCCAGTGCTCAGGTCCCTGCACTTCCTGTAGCCCAGGGAACAGACTTTAAAGCAGCTCTGTTTGAGAAAAAAGCCTCTTTGTGGTTTTATCTCACCGAATGAAGCAGCTGGGCTCTGAGAGCCTCAGGTGCATTAAGGCAACGCAAAGTGAGGCTGTGTTTCAGTTTTCTGCTCCTAAAACCTGGAGCAGTCCTCCTGAAGAGGTGGGACAGGCCTCAACTCTGAGCATGTTTAAATCCAGGCTGAAAACAGTTCTATTTAGCTGTGAAACGACCCTGGAAAGTATTTGATCTGCACCCTTCACTTTTGATTTATTTTTATGAATGAGCATTTTATTTAGTTGAACCTATTCTTAATTTTCTGCTTTTAAACTCTCACTTTTTAATGCATTATCTTGTATGTAAAGGACTTTAATTTTCTTGTTTCTTATTTGAAAATAAACTACTTCTCTGGTCGGATATCCCTTCTCTTTGGACATGTAGTCTGAACCATAATTTAATTCAAATGACCGAAACAAAAACAAAAAAAGAACAAAGCATTTCTGAGCAAAAACCACATTTATTTAGTCACTGATGAAAATAGCTGAGCTCTGAAGTCTGTAAATGTTCTGTAATTTCAGCTGCAGATAATCAGTGTGATGCGTCTGTGTCGGACATGAAGCTGATGGAGGACATGAGTGCTCTGAGGGAGGCTCTGGACTTTGCGGATGTGCAGGTAATCCCCATGCGTCACATTTTACCGTCAGTTTTATCACAAAGATTTATCTCAGAGTAATTTTTGTCAAATCCATTTGAATAAAATGTTAATAGATAACCACCTGATTACACAATGTTAGATTCACATGATGGCCGAACATAAAAACAGTCAAAAAGCCTCTGAGAGGACAGGAGCTTAAACTAAAAAGCCACCTCAGAGAGATATGTAAGGAAACAATAGATTTCTATAACTTTATTTTGCATACTTAGGTTTTTTTTTGTTTAAGCAAATATTACATGGTCATGGACATGGAACATTTTTACGGGAACAATATTATTTATTAAAAATGATACACTAATACGCACTAACCATACATCATGTGGTTATATATTATATTCCAGTAACACATTTCTCCTTCAAACACAGTATAGGGAAGTATTCTTTTGAAGTAGATTCACAAAAGGTCAAAGTCACAAATTCCCTGGAGCCTTTGGGGTATTAAAACTCCCTTTGATTTCATGCTTTGTATCGCAGGCATACGTTTCACCCTTTTTATTGTAACGGTTCCACGTTTGTGCTCATACAGGCAGAAAATAAGTCCCCGCGGGCATTTGAATGGTAGGTGTGCTTATTGCCCACACAAAGCGTTGCTTCAAAGTTGTAAAACGGGCAGTGCGGCGCCAGCCATCCTCCTTATGATGGACGTTAAAGTAAACAATGAAACACGAGCACATCGGCACGGGTGAAGAGTCCCAAATATTACCTCCAATTCGCCATCCCAATTTTGATATGATAGAATCTCACCAGGTAAATAAAAGATGCAAAGAGAATTAAGAATCTATGAAAAGTAAAACAAGGACAAAGTACAAAAATGAAGGGATAAAAGGAAATAAAACTACGCTGAGGTTAATGCTGCTTCTGTAAACTATAATTAAGTGCTCAAAGATGATCCATTTCCTCCTATGGAGATAATGATGTTAGTGAAATGAATGGAAATATTCAAACACCTACCTCATTTGCTTTGGTGATTGAATTAACTGGCTGCTGTCATGGCTGACACTGTGTCCTTCGTAGGGATACTTATACCCTCATAGACACTCTCACTTCACTAATTAGTCTGAACACACAGACTGAGTGCAATAACAAGCACTTTAGAGAATTAAAAGGAAAAGAGAGGAAAAAAAGCAGGAACATTTTGTTTTTTACACCAAAGATAATAAAAAAGGTTACGTAACGATAGTGTGCTTCTCCATTGCAGTCATGCATGTGTATGTGAATGAGAGTAGATAAACTAATTAAATATACACCATATAGCTCCATGGCACACAAGAAGACCTCCCTGTGAGACTCACAAGTGAATATCATCAAATTTTAGAAGCAGTTGATCTTGAAAAGGATCTTTGAAACCAAGTGAAGAAACATTAGCATCTAGTGGAAAGGCATCTGGTTTTCTGATATTCATCTACCTAGATTGTATGTTAGGAAAGTTCATAAATCAAAACCTGAGAGCGAATGAAAGTCTGGATTTCCGTTCAAAATCTGGGTTTTTGACATAATTAAGATGACAAATAAAACCAACCACCATTCATGTTGGATACAGACAGCTTTGTGTTAAAGTTTTCTGTCAAATACAAATTTTTCTACAGAAATCTGTAAGCATAGATACAAATATAGCTCATCTGATATGTGAGATTATTGTTTAGGGCCATATGTGCCACTTTAATGAGGTGTCCTTTAAGCTTTTTCTCTTTACTCCATAACTCTAAAAAGGTAGGTCACAAAGTCTGATGCAAGGAATCATTAAAAGAATAATCATAGAGGTAATGTCGAGCTATTATTTGTACAAGTTTAATATCTCAAATGTAGCAATTAATGTTCCCGTTAGCATGCCATGACCCGCTAACATGACCCTAATGGCCACAAACTGCACTGTCCACTTCCTTACATCTTCTCAACTTCTCAAAAAGAAAACAAACTTCATTCTTAATCTTTCGACACAGTCAATTTATAACTCGTCCCTATTTTAGCACGGCTAATGCTTAACAGTACAATGGTTTTCAGCAAGTGTGTTTTTTTGCTTCCCCACAGGTGTCACCAGGTGTAACCCCAGGTTTTTTGGCATTATGTAACGTTTTTAGACTTTTCCTGTTCTGCAGTGATCGCTTAAACACCACATATTAGGATAGTTATTATGGTTTGCTGCTTAATGAATACCGACACTGTCCCATCACAGAAAGCCGTCAAGGAGCAGCTCCTCTCTGAGAAAGACCTTTATGAGGAAGAGATCAGGGACAAAACCAGGACCCTGGCTGAGTTAGAACTTCACTATACTGAGCTCAAATTCAGAAAAAACCCTGTAACAACAAGGTAACGTCTGCTAAGTAGTTGAACAATGTTATTTCTTTGTGTTAGTCAGTCGTTGAATGTCCTTTTGATAGACTGGCACAATGGCATAATACATGGAAAACCTTTTTTAAATGTTGGTCTTACCACAGCCGGGAGCTTTTGTTTAGGGGCACTAACTCAAACGGTTAATGCTTGTGGCTATGTTAAGCTTTGATATGAGGGAGAGTAATTTGAAATAATCTTTGAGATGGTATCACGCGATTGAAGATTGTCAGTTTGCCAGAAACAGAACCCTGCAGTGAAATACTGAGCTTGACTGATGTATTTGCTGAATGGTTCAGAAGTATTTTCCCAATCTCTTTCTCCCCCTTTTGGCTCAGAGAGTTTTATTTCCAGATGCGGTGACATATTCAATTTTTAATGCATGTTTTTGACTGATCTGTAAATATTTTTTTATGCCGTTGGGGCAGATTGCACCTTCAATGATTGGCAGTGGGGAATCTTGAAGCGAGGGCATATAATATTTGTATTAAATATACAGTAGATCATGGTACCATGTTTACGGGTTGATTTTATCATATAAGATATCAATATGTTGTTTTAATGCACAGCTTTTTGGTTATATTAAGGTTAGACAAGTTAAAAGAAGAAAGACTGGAAATGCTGAGGCAGGAGAAAGGCCGTGTTCAAAGACTCCAGACCGAGCTGCATAACTCACAGGATCAGTTGGATACCATCAAGCAGGGCGTCAACAACCTCTACTTTCTGTCAAGCTGTGGGCCCGTGGAGGTCTGGAAACTCTAGATCCTTCGACTTTAGACTGGCACCACCACATCCGGCTAACGTTTGTCACTCTTAGTGAAGACATTACCCTGCACTCAGTGTTGCCTTAAGAGAAACTGGACGTGTCTTGACTTCCCTTTAGCCACATCATCACATAAACCTGCTAGTTTTTGCTAATTAGCCAATGTTATCTGTCTAGTGTATTATTATACACTGGTCAGTTCCTGAAAAAGGTTCATTCTTTTCCCAAAATCCCATAAAAACTTTAGAAAATCTTTAATAGTCCAGTATTGATAAAAGATTTAAGTCACTTAGCTGTCTACAGATGTTGTGGTGTAGTACTCCTCCTCATAATACTGACAAATTATAATAGACGTTTCCACAATCTTTCACAGGAAGTGATCAGCATATCCTGCATGGACAAACTGGAGGATATCAGGTTGCATCTCCAGAGGTTACGGCACAGAACAAAGACCCAGAGGCCCGCTAGCGGCGTGGACAGAGACAGGGTGCTGCAGCTCTCCCACATTATACCGTTTGCTAGCATCTGTGTCTGAGCCGTTTCCTCTCCTCTCTCTCCAGGTGTACAAGTTGATGGAAGATATTACCACACAGGACATGAAAAACAACAGAAGACCCGAATCCCCTCCAGGTGAGGAAGGCGTTCCAGAACTAAAATTAAACTAAATTCTCTGCAAAGATAATCAAAATACGCTCTCAGGTGCTCAGTTCATGCAAAATTAATTCCTTGAAGGATTCCAATTTTGTGTGAAATTGAATATGACTGATAGAGATATGTTTTTTCCGCCTAATAGAATTATGTCAGCACCATGATTCATCAAAGTAAAACCTAGAAAGATGCCCTAGTTATCCATGAGCTCATTAATATTCTTTTTGTAAAGTCGGGTATTATTTCTTGAGGAGCCTTGAACTGGAGCCAATCAAAAAGCGGTTTCTAGTAGGATCATCTTATTTCGTAACTCCTGTTGATGCCCCTGAACATGCAGCTCCAAACAGTATCGCATTTAGGACTTTATTTCTAATGCAAAGTGCTGTTCATGCTAATGAGATATTCATCCCTCTCGCAGACCCTCTTGAGTCAAGTGAGGATGAGGAGGGCTGCTGTCTCACCCGAGAGGAGCTCAAACGCAACAGCGCTCGGCTGATTGAAGCCAATCAGAAGAAATAGTTCTCCAGGAGAGGCAAGACACACTCATACAGACCTCCACCCCAGTGAGGACGTGAGAAAATAAAAAGCCCCCTTTATTATTCAAACTGTAATTATTGCCTATGTGTGTTTGAATGATAATATTGCTACCCTTCAACCCCTCACTGGTAATACAGGAGCCTTTTAGCTGGTACAGTGAAAAGTGACTTTTCTTCGGCCTGTTTTTATTTTCAAATGTTTCTCGATAAAGCGGCATTTTAAATCCATTTTTTTGTTTATCAAAAATGTATAAATTCCCAATCTCTCAGAAATTTCGCCCATAAACATCTCGGACACTGAATCATGCGACAGAGTATATTAACAGATCAGAAACTGAATTAATTTTGTCCATCCATCCATTTTCGTAACCTTATTGCCTAATGGGGCGGCGGGGGGGACTGGAGCCTATCCCAGTAGTCAATGGGCAAGAGGCGGGGTCATCCTGGACGATCCCCAGTCCATCACAGGACCACACAGAGACACACAAGGACCAACAACCACACACACTCACTGCTAAGGGAAGTTTGGAGTGTCCAATCAAGCGAACATGCAGGTTTTTGGAGGGTGGGAGGAAGCCGGAGCACCCACAGACACAGGGAGAACATGCAGAAAGGTCCTGGTTCCCCTGGGACTCGAACCCAGAACCCTCTGGCTGTGAGGCCATGGTGCTGACCACCACTGTGCGGATGAATGTGTGTATTTGCTGATAAATCGTTTGTACGTTTACCAGGTTTTCCTCTCACAGTCTCTCCAGACACTGAAATATTCAGACCCACTCAAGGGACTCCAAGGAACTCAGTCCTGATTAAAATCTTTATTCATCATATCAAAATAAAGAGGGGTTTTGTACTGGAAATGAAAGATATTAATAATGGTAAATACCTTTATTCTATTCTATTCTATTCTATTCTATTCTATTCTATTCTATTCTATTCTATTCTACAGCAGAAGCTTTACTTACAAATCAAAGTGTTTGTATATGCTTTTAGCAATGTTGCCCACAAGGTGGGAGCAAAGCACACAGTTGCACATAGTTTGCCTCTGTGGAACTGAACTAACTGCAGAGGCAGGTGTTGTGTCCTACCGGTGTCTGATTAAGAGTAGACAAGGGGACTGGATCTTTCATTAGTGTTTTATTCGGTTATTGGCTGGTTCAAGGACATTTGGATTAATCTCGTGTATAAGTCAGTGGTCTGACAGCTGTTGTCAGTAACAGAAATGAAGATAACAGATAACTTACAGGCAACACAAAACAACACCACCCAAACTCGTTTATTGAAATCCTAAGTGTTAATCTCAGACTAATTACAGTTCCTTTGACACGAATGAATGAATTTGACTGGTGGAAATCGTTTGTGTTGGAAGTGTCATTTAATCTATCACCACTAAACTAGCTTTGAGTCATTAAGTTAATCTTGGTATTAATTAATACATGACTTTAGAAAGCTGAGAGCAATTACTGTTAAGTCTGGAAAGATATAAAAACAATTGTATAAACCATTAAAGAAAAAAGTGATACAGCTTTTCTGTCAGCATGTGAATCCAAGATAGCATAAAACATTGAGATAAGTCTTTTAATTTGTTGTTCAGTTAAGGAAAAGCTTAAACTTTTCTTGGTCTAAAAGAGTCATGCAGTGGGTGGCAATTTGTGCCTATGTTGCAGATCAAAATATGCCATTTGAAAAAGTGCAGACAGGTTAAAATAAGCTGTATACTGGGACACTGATGCATTTTTAATGAATAATGCTCTTCTATTACCCTCACTTTACCCCCACTTAAGACCCTCATTGTTCGATTTATGTGATTATATTTCCTGTTCAGGAACAAATACTCAAAGAAAGCAAAAAAGAAAATAGACTTTGAATGCAAGATTGTGACAAAATTGAATTCTGTCGAAACCTGACTGTTTTGAAACATTTATGAAGGCGAATAATCATATTTCCAAATACATTTATTGCTGTTTTATTTAGTCAAGTCGTATTCTCCTGAGACCCAGCAACGCATTTTTCAACCTCTGTTGGGGACTTGAGTATGAGACCTGTACGTTAGATTTAATTTATGGAACACACCTGAATCCGTCCATCCATCCATCCATCCATCCATCCATCCATCCATCCATCCATCCA